CAATGTCACATTCATAAGATGAGTGTGACAGAGATGCGCATGCTGCGTTGGATGTGTGGACATACTAGAAAGGACCGCGTGAGGAATGAGACAATCAGACAAAGGGTGGGAGTAACACCTATTGAAGACAAGATGCGGGAGTCGCGCCTACGGTGGTTTGGTCATGTGCGTAGAAGACCGAGTGATGCACCTGTTAGGCGAGTTGAGATGTGTGGAGAAGAGGCAGGGAAGAGAGGGAGAGGAAGACCCAAACAGACGTGGGTTAGGGGAGTTCGAAGTGATATGCTTTTTCTGGGGTTGGATGAGGGCATGACTTTGGAGAGAACTAAGTGGAGGGCGGGTATTCACGTGAAGGAGTGATCTTGATAATCTTTTTCCCTCATCTTTTTTTTTCCTAGTTTTTTTTATCCTTATATATATATAAGCATTATTTGCAACCTTTTTATTTTATCATTTATATATATTCATTTTTTTTATATTATCTTTTCATAATAGTTTATCTTTTTATCTTTATTCCTTCTTTTCCTTTTGGTTGTGATATCATGTATCAATACATGTTAGGCGACCCCAATATCTTTTGGGACTAAGGCTTGGATGTTGTTGTTGTTGTATTATATATGCTTATTTAAATATTACATGTGACACGACATGTCGCCTAGTTGTCACCTAGGCGGGCGCCTAGACGCCTAGGCGGTATGGCGGTCCGCTGGCGCCGCGCCTCGCTTAGCCGCCGTGACAAGTATGTAAACCACCTTACATTTCAAGCAACAGGACGGGTCAATACACATCTCTGACTCAGCATCGTGACACCAAAGCAGCAGCACTTTCACCACAAGGAGGTTATACGACATCAGCCGGCCACATCGCAACAGCTGTCCCGGTAACGGCGAACCGGTCTTGGGAAACAGAACGACAACTCCGGCGCGACAAGGGACTTTGTTTTCGGTGTAACAAAAAATTTGGCCCTGGGCATAGATGCAAGACTCCTACCTTTTCTCTTGGAGCTCACGGACAGCAGGGAAGGTGAAGCAGGAAGAGGAGGTTGGCAGTGAACTCAGTGGAGAAGAGAACCTGCACGACATGGCCGAAATATCTTTCCATGATATTCTTGGAAAGTCGACAGGGGCCACCATGAAACTTCGGGGATCCCTCTTAAACAGGCAAGTCCTAATCCTCATTGATAGTGGGCCTACACATAATTTCATCTCAACATCACTGGTTGAAGAATTGGGGATCAAAGAAGAGGGGGTTTTGGCTTTCGGTGTTGAAATCGGGAATGGAGATGTAATCAGGTGCAATAAAATCTGCCGTGATGTTTCGGTTACCTTACCGGGACTGAAGATTACGCAAGATTATTTCCCTTTCTCACTCGGAGCAACGGATGTTGTGTTGGGGATAAAGTGGTTGGCTTCACTGAATACGGTGCAGACTAATTGGAAGGAGATGTTTATGATTTTCTACCTAGATGGGAAGAGGTACAAACTACAAGGGATTCCCTCTACCAGCAAACAAGAGGTATCACTCCAAATTCTCTCCAGGTTCAGGCCCTTTTATCTGAATATCAGGACATTTTTTCCGATGTTACCACTTTACCACCTTTTCGAACCCAAACTCATTCCATTCATCTGTATCCAAATTCTGTTCCCCCAAATATTAGACCATACCGATACACTTCTGACTAGAAAACAGAGATTGATAATCATGTAGAGACCCTACTTGCCACTGGGTTCATTCAGCCCAGCACCAGCCCTTTTGCTAGCCCGACAATACTAGCATCTAAGAAAGATGGCACTACACAGTTCTGTGTGGATTACAGAAAATTGAACCAACAAACTGTCCCAACTAAGTATCCCATTCCCAACATTGATGACCTCTTGGATGAACTTCATGGGGCCACCGTATTCTCGAAAATTGACTTGAAGTCTGGTTATTTCCAAATCCGAATGAACCCAATTGACATCCCCAAAATTGCTTTTAGAACCCACTCCGGGCACTATGAATTCCTTGTCATGCCCTTTGGGCTGATGAATGCCCCTTCAACCTTTCAATCCACTTTGAACGACCTTTTTCGTCCTTATCTTCGAAAATTTGTCCTGGTGTTCTTTGATGATATCTTGGTATACATCAAAAACCTTGCGGACCACTTATGTCATTTACGGATTGTTTTTGATCTCTTACGAGTTCATCAAATTTATGCCAATGCCAAGAAGTGTTCCTTCGGCCAGCAGCGTATTCTGTACTTGGGGCATATAGTGTCCAGTGATGGAGTCGATATGGAGACAGAGAAAATCCAAGCTGTTCTGAATTGGCAGGTTCCTCGGAATGTCAAAGAGTTGAGAGGCTTCCTGGGGCTGACGGGGTACTACCGTCGCTTTGTCAAAAATTATGGGATATTTGCCAGGCCACTCACTGAACTTACGAAGAAAAGTGCTTTCCTTTGGAGTCCAATGGCAGAGAGAGCATTTCAGAGCTTAAAAATGGCATTAACTTCTGCTCCTGTTTTGAAGTTACCCTACTTCACCTTGCCCTTTACAGTGGAATGTGATGCGTCAACCACAGGGGTTGGAGCTATTCTGCTCCAGTCAGATCAACCGGTCTCTTATTTTAGCAAGGGGTTTTCTTCTTCTAATCGTTTGAAGTCCACCTATGACCGGGAAATACTTGCTGTTGTTTTAGCCTTACAAAAATGGAAGCATTATTTGTTTGGTCGACATTTCTTTGTCAAAACTGATCACTGCAGTCTTAAGTTTTTGTTGGATCAACGTCTAACATCAGATTCCCAACAGCATCTGCTCATAAAGCTGCTTCCCTTCAATTTCACTATCATCTATAAGAAGGGGAAGGACAACCAGAGAACGGATGCCTTGTCACGGAAAGCACACCATGCTGAATTGCTTACTCTGGCATTACCCGTGAACATGGACTTGATGACTCTACATGATGAACTGCTGCAAGATCCGGCTACTAAAGATATTATCTCATCAAAGCAACAGAATCCTACTACTTGCCCTGATTATTCCTTGGTGGAAGGAAGACTATTCAACAAGGGGCGGTTGGTAATCCCGGGAACGTCATCACTTCGCCAGAAAATTCTATCCGAGTGTGCCATGATACCCTCACTGGTGGACATGGTGGTTTCCTGAAAACATTGAAGCGTGCATCTGAGAGTTTTTTCTGGCCCAATTTGAAGCAAGATGTCAAACACTACGTTCAGAACTGTTTGGTATGTCAACGAAATAAGTATGAGACGCTGGCACCAGCAGGTCTACTCCAGCCGATCCCACTTCCAGATCGTGTTTGGGAGGACATATCACTTGATTTTATCACTGGGTTACCAAAATCGGTGGGTTTTGACACAATTCTAGTAGTGGTGGACAGATTCAGCAAATATTGCCACTTTGTGCCATTGTCTCATCCATTTACAGCTAAATCTGTGGCTACCTCTTTTTGCAGGGAAGTTGTACGTGTACATGGGCTTCCACGCTCTATTCTCTGACAGAGATCCTGTTTTTCTGAGTCATTTTTGGCAAGAATTGTTTCGACTTAGTCGGACCCGGTTACGCATGGGTACAGCTTACCACCCCCAATCTGACGGGCAAATGGAGGTGGTGAATCGCACTCTTGAGTCCTACCTGCGCTGCTTTGCTCACGAGCGCCCCTCCTCCTGGAGCAAGTATCTGGCATGGGCTGAGTACTCTTTTAACACTGGTTTTCACTCTTCCACGGGAACCACTCCATTCAAAATACTCTATGGCCGGGACCCGCCTTTTCTACACCCTTTTGTGCTAGGAGAAACAAACAATGCTGATCTAGAAGAACAACTACTGTCTCGTGATGCTATGCTAAAACTCCTTCGGGAAAATCTCCAAAAAGCTCAATGCCGGATGAAGGCTCAAGCTGACTCTAAACAACGGGAGCTATCTTTTGAGGTAGGAGATGCTGTCTTCCTCCGGATTCAACCTTTTTGTCAACGTTCTTTGTCCAAGCGACAGTTTGAAAAACTGTCCCCTCATTTCTTTGGCCCATATTCGGTTGTTCGCCGCGTTGGTCCAGTTGCTTACGAATTGGCTCTACCTGAAAAAGTGCTCTCTCACAGATGGGTTTCTGGTTCTAATTTAGAGTTGCTGGTGCTCTCTCACAGATGGGTTTCTGGTTCTAATTTAGAGTTGCTGGTGCAATGGGCAGGCCGGCCTCTTGAAGAAGCAACATGGGAAGACTATGACTTACTCGCCGGGCAGTTCCCTTCTTTCCACCTTGAGGACAAGGTGACTTTTCAGGGGGGGAGTACTGATAGACCACTGAAGACTTATTCCCGCAGGAAGAAACTGCTCTTGGGAAGCAGTTGAAGTTGTGGCTATTTTTCAGTCATTAGTGGAGGTGGTTATGGGCATAACCTGTAACCCACTACTCTATTGCTTTATAGTTATTATAAATACTTCCTGTTAGCTACGTAATAGATAGTTAAGAATTTATATGCAGTATCATATTGTAAGGAGCCTTGTCCTCTTCACACGGACTGACACATTTGGGAAATTTATTCGGATTCTGTGAATTTCTCAACCCTCTTTCTCTATTCCTCATTGATCTCGTCTGGTCTTATCACACTATTCTGCCGATGAAGGGCATTTCCTGTCTAAAATATATTGTAAGCGGCAGTGATGGGATGAACATCGATTTCAGTGGCTTAACTCTTAAGGGCAATTAGTGACGGCAATCTCCGTTGAGTCAATGGCAATGTGCAGTGAGTTGTGCCGATGGGAAGTAGGTCGGCAACGACGGGCAGTAACGCTAACAACCAAGGGTAATGTGAGTTGATGTGGTGGACAGTGAACAGGTTGAAGGGTAGTAGTTAATTTTAGGTCACTTACGGTGCTGAGAGGCATTTTGGCATCAAGGCTTGTGTTTATTCATTGTCATATGAAATTTATTAGTCAATATTGAGAGAATTTACTACTCTTATGTTTTAGTTGAGTAAATTTCCCTGTTGTTTAATTGAGCAGGAAGTAGAAGCAGACCACTTGAACCCTGAGTCATTGTCCCAATGCAAGTGGTCTGGGGGTGACAGTCATCTGTTTGCTTTAGTTGACTTAATAACAAAGAAACATATCTTACTACTTCATGCTGGAGGTGACTCTAAAAGGGTCCCATGGGCTAATCCTATGGGCAAAGTGTTTATACCACTGCCATATTTGGCTACAGATGACAATGATGGCCCAGTTCCCTCACTCTTTGATCACATACTTGCAATTGCTTCCTGTGCTAGACAAGCTTTCCAAACTGAAGGTTATTTACCTCCCACTATTGCCTGCCATTGATTGCTTTGTTTTTGCATTAGGAAAAATTAAAGTTAAGCCATCTTATGCCAACCAAAATATAAAAATTTAAGGGCCCGTTTGGTAACTCTGTTTTTCAGCTTATCAGGCTTATGAGCCGACTTTTTCACCAAACACGTAACTTTTGATTTCTCGCGTTGAATTGTGTAATAATAAAAAAAAGTAAGGTTGAAGTTACTATTCTGCTGTATTGGCTGAAGTTACTGTAGAGGATCATTTTAGCTATTTTATCATGTAATTTTTTCTTTATTTTACTAATAAAATATATTTTAAATTTAATTTTTTCATAAATCAGCAGAATCAACCAGAACATCATAAATTTCAGCAGAATCAGCTGATTTAGCCGATTTCAGTGTTACCAAACAGGCTCTAAATCAACTTACTCCATCCTTCCCTAATATACCCTCCATTTGAACGGGCACATAGATTAAGAAAATGTAAAATGTGTGGTTGGTATTTGATAGAGACCTGGACTTATGGGCTTATGGAGCGAGATATAATAGAAATAATACTGAGTATTTTAATAAAATGTAATAGTGGGTTGGCCCATTAGAAATAGAATAAATAAGTGAGAGTGGTGAGGAGATGGGGAGGCAGACTTTGGATCGGGACTGGGACTTGGGAGTGTTGAGACTACTCGAAGTGTCTCTATCGTTTCTTTTCTTCTTTCCGTTCTCTTTGCACGACAATTTCCATCATCGACCATTGTAATAGCTTATGTACTCAGTTTTCCAGAATTAATTTACAGTAATTTTCTGGTTCCTATCATTGGTATCAAAGCATCCTTCCTGGAGCCTGAATCGATCGTCAGTTTCAACGAAAGTCGAAGAAGAGGATGGACAATAGCGACAGTTGGAAGGAGTTGCGCTATATGCTGCGCAAACTTCGTCACCGTCAGAGGTGACATAGAGACAGAGCTAAGAGCCCTCCTAGACATCGTCGGCCAATTGAAAAACAATGCTCGACGTTAGCCGCTACTCACCAGCCCTCTTCGTCGCCTACAATTTATCGCAGTTCTCAGCGATCGTCAATAGCTCTTCCCTGTTCGCAAGCGTCGCCCCGAGCAGATGTCCGCAGTTCACAGGCCCCTTCACGTACAACTTCTCATAGGTCGCAGAGTTCGACGCTCAGGAATCATTCCAGTTCGCAATCGCGAACTTCATCTTCCGGTTCGCTGACTTCATCTCTAGCTTCATCCAGTTCGCAGTGGGTAACCGCATCATCTCCCACTTCGTTGCGAACTGTTTCTCCTCTTCGATCTTCATCGTCAGCAGCTTCTTCCAGTTCGCCAGCTTCGCCGCAAACAGTATCTCCCAGACCTCAGGGTTCTTCACAAACAGATCTCCCCTGTTCGCAGGTCTCTTCATCTACTAACAGCTCGTGTGTGACTCGATCAGGAGGAGACTTGAAATCAACGGGATCATCCTATGCGAGCCCTAGTGCGAGGCTAGACAGAGGAGAAATCATCAGTTCACAGCCTACATCATATAAAGAGGAGGTGTCCATTAACAGAAAACATATCAGCCCAAAAAGGGAGATTGATTTGAATATATCAAATTGTGTTTATCACTTGGTACCTGAGAACATTATTAAGACTGGTATATTTATTATTGGCAAGCATGGAAATGAAAATGTGTCCCTCCTATTCCCAAATTCTCAAAAATACTTGAACCGAAAGGCATCAGATGACGAGATATATGAATTGGTGATAGCTTCTATGAAATTCAAGGAGTCTGAGATGCTTGAAGACAAATTCATGAATGGATTAAAGGAGGAGATTAGAGTCAAGTTGAAACTATTGCATTCTGGGATTCTGGCAGAGTTAAAGGACAGGGCACTGATTTTCGCGGTAAACTTTGAAGAAGCTGGTATAAACATGGATGGCTTTGACGTTGTTTGGCCACCATGGAGAAGTAAAATCGTTTCAGGATATCAGTTAATTTCAATGTCACAGATAACTCATGAGCAGGAGCATCCAGATGCTTCATTTCTTCTACAACATTTTGAAATGCTGAACGGTCCCTCAGAGAAAGCATCTCTCAGTTTGGTCCACATCAATCCTCAGGTAGAAGTCAAATCATTCCATAAACATTTTGCTACCTGTGAATTCTTATCTGAGGTGAAGGTCATGTACCCAGTTTTACCACTTACGTTGGCTACTCTACCTGAGGTAAACGGCATGGAGAGCATTAGTACTACTGCGGCAACAACAGCTCTAGACTCTTACACTCATTTTTTGAGTGTTGTTATTGGACACGAATCTGTCCAATTTCACGATTACATGATTGGCAGTTGCTCTGGCTCTGAGGAAACAAGATTGCAATTGATCACTGAACCCAACACTGAAGTTTCCCTTTTCCCAAGTGGTGTTGTGTATCAATGCACAGCTCTCTCTTCACTTGTCAGTTCTTCAGTATGCATCTGGCAGTACATGGCATCAGGATCCAAACGGGTTATGGGATTTGAAAGTCGCCGGGTTGCTCTGCTTGATATTGGTTCACCTTCGGTTTTATTTGTAATATACAGTCACTCTAACTCAAGATCTCTGGTCTATTCTGCTAAGGCATCTTTGGGTGTTCATCAAAACACTGTGAAACCGGAAGGTGGAATCTCATATGAAACTAAGGAAGAACTTGTTTTGTGCTTAACCAGAGATGGACACATTATTTTAATGACTTGCAGCATTGGCTGTTTTATCCATTCGCAACCAGTACATCCAGAAAAGCATGTTGAAAGAAAAGATCAAACAACACCATCTGATCATGAGGAACAAAACAATTACAAAGATCCCAAGTCCCAACAATCAGCGTGTTCTCCAGGCAAGCACGCTCATGGTTCCGCCATCAGTTAGATACTGGGAAGGAAGAGGTGTCCGGATGAAGATGAAGTTGAAGGTCAAGACTCTTACTTCCCACCTTGAGGACAAGGTGGTTGTCAAAGGGAGGAGTGATGATAGAGACCTGGACTTATGGGCTTATGGAGCGAGATATAATAGAAATAATACTGAGTATTTTAATCAAATGTAATAGTGGGTTGGCCCATTAGAAATAGAATAAATAAGTGAGAGTGGTGAGGAGATGGGGAGGTAGACTTTGGATCGGGACTGGGACTTGGGAGTGTTGAGACTACTCGAAGTGTCTCTATCGTTTCTTTTCTTCTATCCGTTCTCTTTGCACGACAATTTCCATCATCGACCATTGTAATAGCTTATGTACTCAGTTTTCCAGAATTAATTTACAGTAATTTTCTGGTTCCTATCAGTATTTACATCGAGGTGAGATGAATAATATATGCCCACCATAATGTTTTTTCAAAGAAGAAATGAAAGATTTTTTGGGAATGGCTCAAAAATAAAATATTGTCAACTATTTAGGGACAAAATTAGCATAAGATCATCACATACTCATTTTGTCAGGTTGATTTTTAGTATGAAGTCTTTGGTCTTAAATGGTACCAAAGCATAATAAAACCTAAACAAGCAATTTGGTAATGGTCAACCTAAAAACCAACCACACAGACTCAAAGATTGGTTATAAAATACTAGTGAACAAGTCCGTGACATTCGTCTCACTAAGATTGACACGATAGCAAGTGATAAGATTATTAAAAAAGTAGTTTTTAGGGTAAAAAGTAGAACTATATGCTTGTTATGGATTTTTATGGATTTTTTAAAGTATGGATAAAGAAAGAATGAACTGGAACCAAACAAATATTACCAAATATGGTATGCACCAAACTTAGTGGGACATTTGAAAAAAGAAAGATGGGACAAAGATAGTGGGATGGGTGGAGTACAAACTAGTTCCCTACTTCTCTTTAAAAGTTGACTTCTTATGATGGGATATCAAGTCTTATTATGGTTTCTGAGCATATTAAAGCTCATACGGATGACTATCGAGTCATTCCACAATGACCGTATACCAAGTACAAACTAACACATAACACCATACAATACTTTCTTCTTTGTCCAGTTGTTGTTGACATGTGAATCATAAATATATAAAATCATCGATGTTCAAGTGCTGACCAGATTTCATATCCGCAGGTGGTATACTAATAATGACCGGGGATGTTCTTCCTTGTTTTGATGCATCCAATCTGGTTCTGCCCGAGGATGCATCTTGCATTGTCACAGTTCCTATCACTGTAGACATTGCTTCCAACCACGGTGTTATTGTAGCATCACAATCTAAGATTTCTGATGAGAAATTTTCCGTTGACTTAGTGGAGAATCTGCTTCAGAAACCCTGTGTAGAAGAGCTGATCAAACATCAGGCTATTCTTGAAGATGGAAGGACACTGCTTGACACAGGAATAATTGCAGTCAGAGGGAAAGCGTGGGTGGATCTTTCAACCCTTGCCTGTTCCTGTGAACCAATGATTTCAGAACTTATGGAAAGTAAAAAAGAGGCAAGTCACCAAATTTTAGTCATGAGAAAGACTATTTTTTTAGGATTTCTATGTATGCATTTGTGTACTTCTCTTTATAAGTTGGTAAAGATCATATGATTGATTAGTGCTGACTTCAACATTGTAATTATGTCTGTTTATGTTCCGTATTACTATTTCATTGTACATGTGAAACCTTTTATTTCTGAATCTTGTATATGGATTCACTATTTTTTTGGGGAATGAACTGAGTACCATATCGAACTGTCGCAGTATTAAGGAGATCCATCATATACAGTCTCTAATTTAATTTGTGGTTATATTAGCTAATTGATTGCATTCAATTTTGTTGTGTTGTTGGACTCATGCGCTATGATTCAGTTGAGTGACCTCAACCTAACTTTAAATTCTATTGGTACTTTCATGGAAACATTATCTTCTGCTCTATATCTTGTGCAGATGAGCTTGTATGAAGACCTTGTAGCAGCTTGGGTACCCGCAAAGCATGATTGGTTACGGCTACGTGTTTTGGGCAGTGAACTTGCAGACAGATTGGGGAAACACAAGGTGTTCAGCTACTGTTCTTGTACGTTCAATGTAGTTTGAGTATGTGTATCTTTGTAGTTTTATATTTCATTTTCCATATTTTCTTTAGAAAATTTCCATTTTTGCCCGCTAATGTGAGTTTAGTTTCACTTTTGTCCTCATATTTATTTTTTTATTCATTTTTGGCGCACAGCTATTCATTTTTCAGCTACTTCCGGTCTTCCGAACTGTAGAAAACTGACCACAAATTGTACAAAAATTGGTCGTGGGGTGTGTGTGATCCTATAAAAGGTGGCAATCCAGAGCGAGGTGTCTAGCCTTGAGGGGCGTTGAAAAGGGTCACACATATAAAACAAAAAACCAACGTATAAGACATTAGGTTTTTCCTCCTATAAGGTGTACATTTATGATAGATACGCCCAATTTACAGAGTTTTTGAGTACTAGAGATGAGAAGAAACAGTTTATGTAACAGTATAAAGCTTCGTTGAATAGTTAAAGAGCGCCAACTCTCCAAGTCCCAAACCCAGGATAATTCCTGCCTGCTCTATTCTATCCTCCTTCCGCCTTTTATAATATTCCTATCCTAAAGAGCTGGCCCAAACTCAAGAACTAAAAGGCCCAAAACCCTCACTTGTAAACTAACACAATCTTTATTATTCTATTACGTAGTATTAGTCTTTATTGTGTGGGTTCCTATCATTACTCCCCCCTTTGACTACCACCTTGTCCTCAAGGTGGGTGATAGGAAACAACCCTGAACTTCCGCTTCATCCTCATCCTTGTGCCTCTTTCTTCCCAGTACCTCCCTGATTGCTGTAATGTCACTGCTAGTCGCCTAGATTGAGAGCCCTTGTCCTCCAACACTATTGCATGTCTCTCAGCTTTCAACCTATCCCTTGAAGGATAATAGGAACCTATTAGTATAATAATAATAAAATAATGTTACATAGTTTGTTATTTATGTTAAAGGGGGTCTAGGCCTGGTATTATTTAGTAATGGGCCGGCCCGTAAACAAAGTATTATAAATAGTAGCTGCGAATAGAATAAAGGCAGGCAGAAATTGGATTAGGCTTTGGCTTGGGAGAGAGACACTCTCGAATTTGTCTCGTTATCAATTTCTACTGTTTATCTTCGATTTCTTCGTTCTGCTGTAATTCAGAGAATTAATACTCCCTCCGGTTCTTATTAAAGTTCTCACTTTCCTTTTTGGGATGTCCCGTATTTAAGTTCACACTTCCATTTTAGGAAACAAAACAATGCAAAACAGTGCCAAACAGTGTCAAACAGTGTCCAAACAGTGCCAAACAGTGCCAAACAGTGCACTTCACAGTAAAGTCAAATTCATTTTCTTAATATGTGTGAAGTCAAACTAAGAACTTAAATAAGAACCGGAAGAAGTATACAAATATTTCTTCTTATCTACTCTGAAATCGTTGGTATCTGACATTGGTATCAGAGCACGCCGCTTCCCGAAGGTAGAGAATCGGAATTCTATATGACACCTTGAATGGAAAAGAGTTTTGACAATATAGAATGACATATGAAGGAGATGAATGCGAAGATGAAAGATATGCTGAACACGATGAAAGATATGCTGAACAGTATGGATCAACATCATCGCAGACATCGATCTAGGAGCCCTAAAAGTCGTCGGCCTTCTGCGTATCCCAGTTCATCGTCGCTACTTGTACCTCACCAATCGACATCGCGAGAGGCTTATACCAGTTCGCAGATGGCATCTCAAGCTGCGTCGCACACTGCGCTAGCGTCGTCGCCAGCAGATCCTTGTTCGCTGATTTCTGTGCTCGCCTATACTCACCCTTCGCAGGTTTCAACGCAATCAGTTTTTTCCAGTATGCCAGCTTCGTCACAATCAGATTTGCTGAGTACGCAGGTTTCTTCCGAGTCTCTCTAGCCACTCCTCACCAGTCACCAGCCCTCTTTGTCGCAATCCGTTTCTCTGAGTTGGCAGGTTTCTTCTCAATCTCAAGCCGCGTTTCATTGTGCGCTAGCTCCATCGCTTGAGGATTCTCACACTTGGCAAGCTTCACCGCTCCATTTCGAGTCTGTTAACCTGCTGCAACCTTCCTCTGATGATAGGAGAGCTTTATAATTTGGAGAAAATGCAGAGAAGTTCATTGAAGGCGACAATGAAAACGAGGAGAAATTGTCAGTGGTAGCTGGACCTGAAATTGGCACAACTACAGTTCATGTTTCTCTTGGATGCCCAGCTTCTGATGCTTCTAAAGGTTCTATGGAATTCTTCAACTCGGTTTTTGGTAGAGTTCTGCGTGTCACTTCTCAAAATGTTAATAATCCTAATGCTTCACAAGGACCTGGTCAAAATCTTCACCACATTGTTGAGAATAGGCTACAGCCAAACACAGAGGGTGCAGGAGTGCAAAATATGAGGCTGTTTGGAGTTGTTTGAACTTGTCTCTGCTAGACTATTCGGAAGGCCACAAGGCGGAAAAACAGTGATAGCGTTGTTAACTTAAAACCACATGAGGTAAAAGGTTTCCTGTTATTCTGTTGCATTGTTCGGCTAATGTCTATGGTGGGAGTGAAATGGGATTTGAAGAAGTTGTAAGGATACCTAAACTTGATTGGTCATCTGGCTTACAAAATTGAAAGGCATTGATAAAGTAAAGTCAGTAGACTTTAATCTTCCTAGATCATTTGGAGATATTGTTACAGTACCAATTGTTTGTGATATGAAAAGCAGTGAACTCTATTCCTTTTTCATACTGACAAACCCCAGAGAGTTGCAATTTTAAGAGAACATTTGTTGGTCTACCGGGAAACCTGAGCAAGAGAACAATCATTATGTTCTCCAGAGTGACAGCATACCTCTTTATGAAGAAAATCTGGTTAAACCGGGTTGTGGACAGCTTTGTTCAAAAAGGGCGATGAAGGGTCAAGTAATGAAGATCATGGTCCAGAAATCCGGGAGGTATTGGGAAGGAAGAGGTGCCAGGATGAAGATGAAGTCAAAAGTTAAGGCTGTTTCCTATCACCCACCTTGAGGACAAGGTGGTTCTCTAAGGGGGGAGATATGATAGGAACCTATTAGTATAATAATAATAAAATAATGTTATATAGTTTGTTATTATGTTAAAGGGGGTCTAGGCCTGGTATTATTTAGTCATGGGCCGGCCCGTAAACATTATAAATAGGAGCTGCGAATAGAATAAAGGCAGGCAGAAATTGGATTAGGCTTTGGCTTGGGAGAGAGAGACACTCTCGAATTTGTCTCGTTATCGATTTCTACTGTTCATCTTCGATTCCTTCGTTCTGCTGTAATTCAGAGAATTAATATACAAATATTTCTTCTAATCTACTCTGAAATCGCTGGTATCTAACAAAGGATGCTCCTCCCTGAACAACTCATACAGAACTTCATCTGCACGCATATCAAAAGAAGGCTCAAGTGGATTTGAGTCTCTATGCTGTGTTACTCCATCTTCCACAGTTATCTGTTTGGATGTGGCTGTCACCAGTCTTTTGAGCTGGTTCCACTTGAGTGATCCTTCATTACAGACAACAAGTTCTTTCAATATTCTCCTTATGTCAGCACTGGGGTCTGATAAAAGCCTTCCAATAACACATGGATATGCACTTTCTACCAATTTGAATTCAGGATCCAAAACTTTTGCAGTTGATTCTAGTAGAGCTCTTATCACCAAGGCATAGTCGGGATGAAGAGAGCAGTTGAATTCGTACATAACCACATATAACTGATTCATTATAAACTGGAAATCCTGAGATTGTCTTCTGCCATCACCAATTGATGTTTGCTGGGCATCTGCAACTGATTTTAGATTAGCTCCTTCAGGAATGAAACCGATAGAGAGGAAATCCTTTGCCAAACTCCTTGAAATTGTAACTTCATAATCTCCAGTAGCTACCCTTTCTAAATAAGCTTGAAGCATGAGAGATTTCCACTCCACCTCTCTTGGCCATTTCAACTTCTGAAATAAACTATCTTCCTTCTTAGCTTTGAATAATTCCTTCCCTGTTTCAAGGTGCTCACTCATTTTCACCTGTAGGACATCCCCGTGCATCACATCATATAAATCTTGCATGGCCTTAGCGGCACCTTTTTCCTGCTTCTGTAAATCCTCTTCTTTGAATAAGAGGTGTTCGGATGTTAACCGGTAGTTCATGGGTTGCACACCTCCAACTCCATACTCAATAGGTGGATGGTGAGAACCCCGCAGCTTTAGAAGTACAGTTAACGCCTTTGAAAATACAGAATGAGCTGTGTCTTTCTCTGAATGCACTGGCTGAAACCTGATCATACTGCCGGTGCTGTTATCCATTAAAATAATGTGTCCATCTCTGGTCCAGAACAAAGTAGATCCTTCCCCACTTTCATATGAGGTTCCACCTTCCGGGTTCACCGTGCTTTGATTAATACGCGAAGGTGCCTTAACAGAAAGAGAGCTGTCCGGAGATCTTGAGCTAGAGAGACCAGCACCACTTGGAGGAAGGGAAACTTCAGTTTTGGTTTCAGTGATCAAGTGAAATCTTGTTTCCTCAGAGCCAGAGCTGGTACCAATCATGTAATAGTGAAATTGCACAGATCCGTTCCCAATAGCAACTCTCAATGAATTAGTGTAAGAGTCTAGAGCTGTTGTTGCTGCACTAGTACTAATGTTCTCCATGCCCTTTACCTCAGATACAGTAGCCAACGTAAGTGATAAAACTGGGTATGTGACCTTCACCTCAGATAAGATATCACAGGCAGTAAAATGTTTATAGAATGTGTTGACTTCTACATGAGGATTGACGTGGATCAAACTGAGAGATACTTTCTCTGAGGGACCGTTCAGCATTTCAAAAGGTTGTAGAAGAAATGAAGCATCTGGATGCTCCTGCTCATGAGTTGTCTGTGACATTGCAATTAAGTGATCTTGCATTAATCCTTCTGTCAGAGGCTGTGTTAACTGATATCCTGAAAGACTTTTACTTCTCCATGGTGGCCATACCCCATACTACGTCACTGCCATCCATGTGTATACCAGCTTCCTCAAAATTTATTCCGAAAAGCAGTGCCCTGTCCCTTAATGCTGACAGAATCCCGGAATGCAATGGTTTCAACTCAACTCTAATCTCTTCCTTTAATCCATTCTTGAATTTGCCTTTAAGCATCCAGAATCCTAGAATCTCATAGAGGCTATCACCAATGCATATCTCTCTTCATCGGATGCCTTTCTGTTCAAGTATTTTTGAGAATGCGGAATTAGCATGGACACATTTTCATTTCCAGGCTTGTCAATAATCGATATACCAGTCTTTAATATGTTCTCAGGGACCAAGTGATAATCACACTTTGATATATGCAGAGTAATCTCCCTTCCTGGGCGGATATGATTTCTGTTAATGGACATATCCTCCTCATACGATGTAGCCTGCAAACTGAAGGTTTCTCCTCTGTCTCGCGTCGTACTAGGCCTTGCATAGGGATATCGCCGCGATTTGGAGTCTCCACCTGTTCGTGTCACACTCTGCAAACTGATAGGGACAGAATCTGCGAACGAGGAAACTTGCGAACAGACAGAATCTGCTCGCGATGATATGATGAAAAGACCTGCGAACAAGGAAAAGCTGTTTGCGATTTCAAACAGGGAGATGCTGTTCGCGATGACGAACTTGAAACAGTGGCTAGAGATGCCATTTGCGAACTGGTAGAAGCCTCTCGCGATGACGATTGGTGAAGTAAGAGTAACGACGGTGGACTGGAACTGTGAGACGCGGATAACGAGTCAGAAGAAACATGTGAACTCCGAGAAATGGTTTGCGACGATGAGGACTGGTGAGGAGCGGCTAGCGTCGATTGCGTTGAGCCCTAGCACCTTCTGGAAGTTCGCGATCATCCCCTGTTTAGCGATTCTGATTCATCCCCAGTTGGTGTAGCTCGGCCCTCATTCCGTCCATCCTCCCGCGCATGTTGCGCATCTCCTCCACTACCGATCGCACATCAGTTCTGTTCCGCTCCAGAGTTGCCACCACCGATTGCACATCAGTTGTGTTCCGCTCCATGTACTGCTCGATATCCAGTCGATTCTCCATTTGCGACTTGGTAAATCTCGCTACAGGACCAAACTGCTTTGATACCAATGATAGATACACCCAATTTACAGAGTTTTTGAGTACTAGAGATGAGAAGAAACAGTTTACGTAACAGTATAAAGCTTCGTTGAACAGTTAAAGAGCACCAACTCTACAAGTCCCAAACTCAGGATAATGCCCGCCTGCTCTATTCTATCCTCCTTACCCCTTTTATAATATTCCTATCCTAAAGAGCTTGCCCAAACTCAAGAACTAAAAGGCCCAAAACCCTCACTTATAAACTAACACAATCTTTATTATTCGATTATTAGTCTTTATTGTGTGGGTTCCTATCAATTTTAGATTGAGAATTTTAATTTTAATAGGTTTTGAGATTTTCTTTGTCATAATCAAATTAATGTAATTCTAACTACAATTGTGTGAGGGGGTGTATGATTCTATGAAAAAGTGACAATCTAGAGTGAGCTGTCCAGCTGTGAGGGGGCGTTAAGAGTGTCCCACGTATAGAACAAAACACCAACATATGAGACATTAAATTTTTTCTTCCATAAGGTGTACATTTTAAAAGGGGTGCCTTGACACATCGGTTAAAGTGTTGTTGTGTGACCTAGAGGTCACGCGTTCAAGTTTTGGGAGTGGCCTCTTGTCAAAATGACAAGAGTAGGCTTTTCCCCTATACACTTTTGTGGCAGGACTTTCCATGGACCCTCGCTTAACAGGGACGCCAGTGTGCACCAGGCTGCCCTACAAGGTGTAAACTGTACATTTTAGATTAAAAATTAAAGGTGTAATAGGTTTTGTGATTTTCTTTGTTATTTTCAAATTAATGTGATTCTAACTACAATTGTTTGAGGTCCATGTAAATCTGTCTGTGTGTGTGTTTACTTATCAAACATTTACACTGCTCTTCTAGAGTTCTATCCATCTACATTTTTAATGCAGATGATCTCTTTTTTTTGCACTTTGGCACCTCAAGTGAAGTTTTGGACCATATGACCGAAACCTGTTCGGGACTAGTTGGTCGAAGGCATCTTTGTTCCATTCCAGCAACCACTGCATCTGACATTGCGTCCTCGGCTATCATTCTGTCAAGTAAAATAGAACCAGGAGTCTCAATCGGAGAGGACTCTCTCATATACAATTCCTCCATCTCAGGTGCTATACGGATTGGCTCTCAATCCATAATTGTGGGTCTTAATGTGCAAATGTCTGGAAACAGAACCTCACAAGAACAGTTCACCTTTTTGCTTCCAGACCGTCATTGCCTCTGGGAAGTTCCTCTTGTAGTAAACAAAGAAAGGGTAATTGTGTACTGTGGGCTCCATGATAACCCTAAGATTCTGTTGTCCAAGGATGGGACCTTCTGTGGGAAACCATGGAGGAAGATTTTAGATGACTCGGGCATTCAAGAGACTGATCTATGGAGCTCAGATGAAAAATGCCTGTGGAGCGCTAAATTGTTTCCTGTTATTCCGTACTTTGATATGCTCCGTTTGGCAAAATGGATAATGGGATTGGAAAATCTCAAGAGTGAAGCTGCTTTTTGTTATTCTTTGTGGAAAAGGTCACGTCGATTAAGTTTAGAAGAGTTGCATAGATCAATAGATTTTCTACATATGTGTTTAGAATTGAATATTCATCAAGCAGATATAGTTACTGGGATTGTTAAATCGTGCATTGATTTCGGATTGCTTGGGAGGAATTTATATCAGTTGTGTGAAGAAATAGTTCATAAGGATGAAGCTTCTGGAGTTGAGATTTGTGAAGGATTTCTTAAGATGTGCCCTAAACTTCACGCTGAACATTCTCAACTCCTCCTACCTAGAAGCAGAGCATATCAGGTGAATGTTGATCTCCTCAGAGTATGTGGTAAAGAGAAAATGGCATTTGAGTTGGAACATAGAGTGTGTGCCGCGGTTGCTGAAGAAACTGCAGCGGCAGCAAAGTATGGATCTGAAGGTACTCTTCACCGCGTTTACCTTTCAAATCATTGTTGTGGTTAGGATTGCCATTCTTTAGAGCCTTACAGGCTGTTGAAGCTAAAAGGTTGTGGTCTAGTATGATGTAAGTGTAGGGGGGAACTAATGTTGATCCTTTTAGGTTAACGCTTGTCTTGAGTCATGCTTTCATCACCAGCACCTTTATCCCAATTATGTTGGGGTTGGTGACATTAAATTTATAGTACTGCAATTGTCTCTAAAAAAGAGCAGTGTTTCACAAAAGTAGCTAAATGTTGATCCAAAAATTGCCAAAAAAGAAGTTACACACAAGTTCAATATGATAGACTGAGGGAGTGTTACAATGCTTTAAAAAAGTGCTTTTCAGCTTTTAGTTTTAGAAAAGTTTAAAATAGTGTTTTCAAACTACTACTTTTGTTTAAATTAAGCTATTTAAAGCTAAAATATGAAAGCAGATGGAGGGTTGCTTTAAGTGCTTTTCACTTTTTCTATTACACAAAAAGTACCTTTTTAACACACTAACTTTTACTTTTTCAAACTCACCTTTTTCTCAAACACTACCAACTTTTACTATTAATTAATCACTTTTTATATACTCTCTAAAATTAATCACTTCTCAAAGGTAGAAGCTGAGACAAATACTCCTCTAGTTATATCATAGAATAAAAAAGAGCAGCCCGGTGCATATTGGCGTCCCATAAAGCAAGGGTCTGGGGAAGGGGTCCCCACAAGGGTGTATAAAGAGCACACTTTCTAGTTTCTATTATCGTTTTAACAAAAGGCTGCTCCCAATAACACAGGATTTTAAAAGTGTAACACAATAAGCTCATGGAAAAAAAGCAAGCTAGTGAACGGATATCTTCGGGATGCAAGATCAATGAGATAGTATCTCAAAACCAACGTTATCATAAGTTTTTTCCTTTTGCAAAGAAATATCAGGAGTCATCCATGCGTTTACATAGTTGTTACTGTCAGTGTCCATTGCAAAATTGATATTGTAGGTTCAATAGGTATATCATGAAACATCACCGGATTGTCACTTTTTCTCTTGTAGAATCAGAAAACATATTGGGATGCATTTTGAAGGATAGTAACCTGTCCAGGAAGGTGAAGATCGAACTACCAGTTCGAGTGGATTTCGTAGGTGGGTGGAGTGACACCCCTCCTTGGAGTCTAGAACGTGCTGGATGTGTGTTGAATATGGCGATAACATTGGGAGGTTCTTGTCTTCCCATCGGTACGACTATTGAGACAAGTAAGGAGACTGGAGTTGTCATCAGGGATGACATTGGAAACTTCTTACATATCAATGATCTCTCCACCATTTCACCTCCATTTGAAAGTGGTGATCCATTCCGCCTTGTGAAATGTGCATTGCTGGTTACCGGAATTGTTAAGCATAAGGACCTTGGCTTGGAAATCAGGACGTGGTCCCATGTCCCGCGTGGCAGTGGTTTGGGGACTTCCAGCATCTTAGCAGCAGCAGTTGTGAAAGCGATTTTGCAATTGAGCGGTGGAGATGAGAGTAACAAAAATGTGACAAGGCTCGTTTTGGTATTGGAACAAATAATGGGGACGGGAGGTGGATGGCAGGACCAGATTGGAGGGCTTTATCCCGGGATAAAATTCACCACAAGCTTTCCTGGCACCCCTTTGCGTCTTCAAGTCATTCCCCTCTTGACTTCCCCTCAGGTTGTACAAGAGTTGCAGCAACGGCTCCTTGTTGTGTTCACAGGACAAGTAAGTAATAAACAATACTCTGCTTCGGGCTTTGTGAGGTTTTAGCCGGAAGAGTTTTGGAGGAAGTATTTCTATATCTTTATAAAAATTGAAAAAATTACACAACAGGCAATCATTTTGCATTCCAATCGCCATTCCTTTCAAATTTAGATTTTGTAATCTTTATATAATAGAAATGTATAAGTAAATAAAATTAAATGTGTGAAATTGGTTTATTGAGTTTGAACTTATCCCTCATCCCACCCCAATTCCCCTTATATTTTCATCATTAAATATTTTTCACCAGCATTTCCAATGGAGCCAAAGACTCACTATTTTTTGACTTGGGAATATTATTGAATAAAGCAAAATGGCTCATTGCACTGTTGGTGCTTCCTTGCTATGGAGCAACAGTCAGTCCATGTAATTTTCAACGCGATTTATCACGGGTCATCCGGAAACAGTCTCTCTTAGTACAGGGGTAACACTGTATACATCCGACCCTCTTACCCCACCGTTGGTGGGAGCTTTTGCGGCACTGGGGTAATGTTATTGTTGTAGACTTGTAGTATTTTTCACTAGCGTGTTCCTGGTTTCAAACTGACCCTTACTTTCCACACATAACCCTTATTTGGTTATGTGATTTTGTGGAAGGGAGCTTGATATTTATCTTGTTAAATTTATTTGATTCTTTTAAAGAAAGTGAAGATGAAGCATTACACAGGAACACATGATATAACTAAATATATGCGGGCCTGCGGGGTAGTTATTTTTTGGCCTATAACTAATAAATAAGGGTAAAAATGAAATGTGATTTCTACTCCCCTGATCTCTGGATCCTCTACGGCCAAATTAGTCGTCGAAATCCATCATAAAAAACTCATATCAAGGCTGTATGGAATGGGATCAAAGTTAGCTTAACATTTCCTTGCTTTTCATTGCAAGTGAATTTCCAGGGGGGATATGAGAAAAATAAAAGTGTGCCCTTAAAGAATGCATGTATTCTCTATACAGGTCCGACTTGCTCATCAAGTCCTTCAGAAGGTGGTTACCCGTTACCTCCAGCGGGACAATCTTCTTATATCGAGCATCAAGCGACTCACGGAACTGGCAAAGGCAGGAAGAGAAGAACTAATGAGCGGCAACATTGATGAGCTAGGGGAGATAATGGCAGAGGCTTGGAGGTTGCATCAAGAACTTGATCCCTTTTGCAGCAACGAGTACGTCGACAATCTCTTTGCATTTTGTGACCCCTTCTGCTGTGGGTACAAGCTTGTGGGTGCTGGTGGTGGGGGATTCGCTTTACTCTTAGCTAAAACCCGTGAATCTGCTGACGAGATGAGACGTTTGCTAGTGCTAGTCTCTGGTTTTCATGTCCATATATACAATTGGGAAATCTTTATGCAAAATTAGCTTCTTTTGTATTTACTTCAAGATGATGCTTTCTGCATACTAGATTAGTTTGTAATCTTATACAGAATAAATTCTAGTATAAGCATTCACTTCCATTTAGTTAAAAAAGTCTTTCCACAAAAACATTCAAGCCTTGTTCTCAAAAGAGTTTGGAGTTGGCTAACATGGATTGACACATGAAATTGGACTTAAAACAATAAAAAGGAAAAAAAAATTAAGATAAAAAGGATAAAACAAAATGAAGATAAAAAGGATTAAATGATAAAGAACTTAAGAGAGATAAAAAGATATGGTAATATAAAAATAAGATAACAAAGATAAGATAAAAAGGAAAAAAATTTAAGATAAAAAGGATAAAACAAAATGAAGATAAAAAGGATTAAATGATAAAGAACTTAAGAGAGATAAAAAGATAAAAAAACATCAATCTTGATTCCTTTAATCCATGTCTGTTTGAGTCTTTCTCTTCATGTCATCCCACCTCTTCTCCATAATCTGTATTACTTGGTCTTCTACGTCCATCAAACTTGCATTCCATATATTTAGTCTTGCTTTGACTCATCCATGAACTTGTTCTCTAAAGTTTGTTGTCATACTTCCAACTTTGCTTTAACACTTGTGTAACATCCCAATTTTGTGAGCTGGTTATATCCGTCATTTTAGCAAGTGAAATGAATTTCTTTTGTGAATAATGTGATTTATTCTGTTATCAATGTTTTGTGGCAGATAAGTTGATTGGTAAGCTCTAATAATTTTAAGTGAATGAGTCAATATTATTCTATGTTTTTAGTATAATATTGGTAGGGAGAATATAATAATTCAATTTGATTGGAAATGTTTTTTTTTGCTAAGACACCCAAATTAGTTATTTTGGCCCAAATCAATATTTTGACTAAAAGCCCTAAAAAACTAGTACATATATACACATTATCTAACCAAGACCTGCGTTTATCCGCAACCACAGTAGCCGCACATCTCCTCACTTCTTCTCAAAACTCTTCTCCTCTTTAATCGATCGAAAACCAGCCTCCCTGTTTCCCCCCTCTCTTGTTGGTAATGTTGGGCCTTTGCTTTTCTCTGTGTTTTTCTCCAGCCAACGCTACCCTCCGGCCTACTCTATTTTTTACTCGCTCGGAGCATGGTTGGAACTATTGATAAACCCAGTAAACTTACAAACAACAAACATAAGCAGTGAAGAATAAGCAGATAGAAAGATATGAAGATAATCAAACGAATCTGGTATACCGTGTAAACTGGCCCCTGCTCTCCCTAGAGAAGGAGAGCAGCGGCAAACCCTACTCTCTCTCTATCTCACCTCTTCTCTAAAGCCTCAATCGTTAGTTAGGGTTCCCGTAAGTTAGCCTCCTTTTATAGGAGAAGTTGGCTAACTTACGGGTTACAAGGAAGCTAACGGGCTGATACACATTTGTGGCCCGTATTACACGTTTAATTAATAACTACACAAATACAAAGATATTTAATTAGATTGGACACCATAAAATATTCCTTCTTAAAAATATTCCTTCTTAAGGGCCCGTATTATATTTTTTGGGCCTCATGCACTTGATTCATTCTTGGTAGAATCTATCAAGGGCCATTTTAAATTAATTTGACTCGGTGCAACTACCTTGCTTGATTTTCTCCACCAACAAGCAATAGTTATCCGTAACCTTAACATTCTCCCGATATCAGGAGCAGTTTTTGTTATTTAAATTTTAAAGGAAGCTCTCTTCTCTTCCCGGATATGAATAATATAACTTTCTTTAAGTGCTTCTTCATCTAGTTCTGAGCATACAAAGAGTTCCATCTCTTCTCTCTCGAGTGCACGAGAAAGGGGAGCACCGTGTAAACCTTGGGGGGCGACACCCATATTCCTGATTGCACCAAGTCATGGGCAAAATCGCTTATAAGTTAGTGGGTTTCCACGACACGGTTTCTTTTCATTCTGTTTTGAGAATTATTTGGCCCTAAATTTGAATTATTGTCACAGTCTTCAATTGTTTTTTCCAACAACTTAGAAGCGATTTCCTTGATTATTGTGACATGGTTTCTTCTAATCAGTTGAAACTGCTCTCTGATATTAGCAACAACTTCAACCTCTAGATGGTTCCAATTACAAGCGGTGGGCTAATCAAATTCTGATTTATTTCAAACAACTCGAAATAGATTATGTTCTATTCAATGACCCACTGAAGTTTGATAGAGTAAATGAGAATCCTGCTACCCCTGGATCGGGGGTCTTGTTTTTAGATTGTGACTTCTGCACCGTCTAAGGACAAGGGCAAAGAACATGAAGGTTCTGGGGAAATGATGGAGAAGTACGAAAAGGACAACAAATTGACCAAGAACATGCTGCTGAGCCAATTGGGTGACTCCGTATTTGATGTGTATACTCAGAAATCAGCCAAGACTATTTGGGACGCAATAGAGAAGAAACACGGGGCAGATGATGCTCGAAAGAAGAATACGTGGTAGGAGAATGGATGAAGTTCAAGGTGGATGACAAGAAGCCAATCATGGAGCAAGTCAATCAATATGAGAATCTGGTTGCTGAAATCCTGGCTGAAAGGATGAAGATGTGCGAGATTCTGCAGGCAAACGTACCGATTGACAAACTGCCAGAAAAAATGATCTCACTACAGCAACCATCTCAAACACAAGAAGCGTGATTTGACCCTACAGGAATTGACTTCTCACATGAAAATCGAAGAGGTTAATCAGTTGAAAGATAAGAAAATTTCTTCTGTTAATGAACTTTCTATTAAAGTTAACGTTGTGGAATCTTGTATTGGTTCCAAAGTTGTCAGGTCTAAAGCTGTCGAGAAACCAGTGCAGGGAAAACAACCCCACAACAACAAAGGAAAGTTCAAGAATCATGGAAAAATCCAGAAAAAAAGAATTTGGGGTCAGGTGTATGCTATGCATGTGGCAAGCCTGGACACAAGTCCTACCAGTGTGAGCAGTGGACAGGCAGACAAGAAACAAAAGGAGTAGACAAACATTGGTTACATTGCAGATGCTCAAGTTTCAATTCAGAAAATATTTCTTGTTGTGGCAACCGTGTGAAACGTGGTGGAAGATCCAAAGATGTGGATTGTGGATTGTGGTCTATGGAGCAACTAAGCATTTTTGTTCAAACCATGAGCTTTTTGCTGGTTTTGAACCTGCCTGAAGTAAGGAGAAGGTGTATGTGAAATATGACTCTCATTATTATCATTGATGATTAAAAACATTACAACAATAGCTATATTTGTATCTACAACTAGGGCTACTTATACAAAGTGGGCTAAGCCCAATGCAACTAGGGTTAGGGTTTCAACACCCCTCGAGCTGGAGCATATAAATCATATGCACCAAGCTTGTTACAAATGTAATCTATTTTAGGACCTCAAAGAACATCGACAAGCTGATCTGTCATGTTGACATAACTTGTGATACTTCGTCCATTCAAAATCTTCTCTCGAATGAAGTGACAATCAACCTCAATATGTTTTTTCCTCTCATGAAATACTGGGTTAGATGCAATGTGCATTGTAGCTTGGTTATCACACATCGGTTGCACTGGTTTCATGTTTCCGAACCTCAGTTCTTGAAGAAGATGTTTTAACCATAAAATCTCACATGCAGCAAGGGCCATTGCACGATATTCTGCATCAGCACTTAATCTCACAACGCCATTGTAACGTCCGTACTTTTTCTACTTCTTATTTTGCCGTAGATAGGGGTGGAGGAGCTGCATCTCGCCGTCAGGATCATTTTGCAACTTGAATCGTCGAAATCCGTTACCTGTAAGTCAAGTTATAGCTAGCCGAAGTTTCCTTAATTTCCGGTCGCCGGATTAACGACCTGGAGAAGAATGGGGAGAAAGACAACCCAGTCTTCTTGGGCCGGGTCAGTTCAATGAGCCAGTTCGGCCCAGTTTCGATAAAAAATAAAAATAAAATAGTAAATGAAATAAATAAAATCTAGAAAAATATAAATTAAATACCTAGTATAAATATACATATTCTGACCAACCAGAATTGAAAAATAATATTTTTAACTATTTTTAATTGATTTAATTGTTATTGGGTCATTTGTACATATTTAGTAAATAATTAACTAAATGACGAAATAAATTATGAAATAATAATTGGAGTAAACTAGATTAAATATATGACTAACTAGTACATTTGGGACCATTTATATTTAATAAAAATTATGATTAGTATATTTAATTGTAATTAAACCGGTTAATAGATATATGAAATTAAATGAATAAATAAGGGAAATAATTCTAAAATAAATATCTGGACAACCTAGGTTAAATATAGACCCAAAATATAGTTATGGACGGTTATAAATTTATAAAGTCAATTCTTAAGCTATTTAATTTAATTGGGCCATACAAAACTAGTTAAGTAATTAAATAAGAAAATTTGAATAATAATGGTGAAATAAATAAAATCACTAAGATTGGAAATAATATTCTGGACTAAAAATGAGGTTTGGAATAAAATAAGGAAAAGAAAATAAAGTTGGGATAGCTAGCATAGATGAATGACTATATTTGGACTTAATAAATAAATTATTGAATTAGTGGATTAATTAAATTAGTGTGATTAAATTAATAATTATTATCCTTGATTATTATTGATTCGGACTCCATATAAATTACTAAACTATTTGAACTCACAAAAAAAAATAGTTGATTAAATATAAATAAATTAAGTAAGTAATGTGTACTTAATAATTTAATTAGTTAATTGACTTTATTGAACTAGTTAAATCAATTAGCTTAATGGATAAATTAGTAAAATTATGTACATGTTAATATTGTTGGACTTTATAAAACTAGAAAATTAAAACGAAATTAGAATTTCATTATTGGCCTTAATTGAATTAGATTAATGTAGTTAGCTATATAGATATAATTAAACTTATTTAGTTGATAAAGTTAATTCAATTAAGTTAGTTAATCAAATAAATAGAACTGGAGTATTGGATTAGTTAATGTAATTGGGTTAATTAGTATAAATAAACTATTGAACTAATTAAAGTTGTTATTGAGATTAGATTATCATTAATGATTATTATTTCGAATTATTCCTATGCCAAATTATTATTCAAAGGTTTATTAAATA